ATATTTATTTAGTTGTAGTTGGATGCCATAACTTTATTTATTTTTATGTGGTGCTGGGGATCGAACCCAAGGCCTTGCATATGCTAGGCAAATGCTCTACCGCTGAGCCACAACCCCAGCCCAATTTCATATATATATATATTTTTAGTTGTAGATGGACACAATACCTTTATTTTATTTACTTTTATGTGGTGCCGAGGATTGAACCCAGTGCCGTACACATGCTAGGCAAATGCTCTGCCACTGAGCTACAACCCCAGCCCCCAATCCCATTTTTTTTTTTTTTTAATGTTGAAAACACTTCAACGTTATTTATTTATTTATTTATTTTTTCTGAGCTGCCTCTGGAGCCCTCTTTCTTCCTCCTCATTTCCGGTACTGTTGTTTCCTTGAAGTTCTGGGATATCCCCTTGTGCCACCTTAGGATTTTTCTTGCTACTTTTCTTGTTGTATCTTCTTTTCCACATCTTCCATGTTCTTCTTTTATTTCCTTATTTTGCTAAAGTAGTCCTTCCAGTTTCCTAAGAAAGAATGCACAGGAGGTATAACATTTGAGATCTTGTATATCTGAAAATGTATAATTTATGTGACTTGATTCACAGTTAGTTTGGTTAAGGATTCTAAGCTAAAAATAGTTTTCCCTCAGATTTTTTTTTAGTTCTCTTTCTTTCTGTCTTTTTGGTCCTGGGGATAGAAACGGGATATGCTAAGCAAATGTTCTTTCATTGAATTATATCCCAGCCTTCCCTAATTTTTAAGGTTATGCTTTATTATTTTCTATCAAGGGTAACAAAACTGATGCAATTTTGAGGGTTTTTTTTCTGATCAGCTTTCTGTTTCTGTAGATTTTATAATTTTTTTTCTTTGTCCAAGATGTTCTGAAACATGATGTGACTTGAAATGGTTTTGTTTAAAATTTTAAGATGAGCCTGTCAATAATGGGCATTCCTAGGCTGGGGTTGTGGCTCACTGGCAGAGTACTTGCCTAGCATGTGTGAGGCACTGGGTTCGATCTTCAGCACCACATAAAAATAAATGAATAAAATAAAGGCATTCTGTCCATCTACAACTACAAAAAAAAAAAAAAAAGCACTCCTATCTTTCAGTCTGGGAAATTTCCTTCTATAATTTCCCTGATAATTTGCTCTCCTTGTTTTTTCTGATCGCTCTTCCTAAAATTCCTATTAATAAACACTAGGATTCTCTGACATTCTCATCTTTCCTCTTCTATTTTCTATCTTTCCACAACCTTATTTTTACCTTTTATTGAATATTTACAAGTGTTTATTGATTCACAGATTCCCCTTCATATTTTGAGATACTACACATTTGTGTTAGTCAACTTTCCATCACTATAATGAGATACTTGAAATGATTAATTTATAGAGAAAAGGTTTATTTTGGCTCAGTTTTGGAGGTTCCAGTCTAAGATCAAGTGGTTTCCATTGCTTTAGACCTTTGGTGGGTGCTAGATGGTAATGGTGGGGACATTCAAGATACAGAGTATACCAATATTGGCTCTTGAATGTCCTCCAAAAGCCCATGTTAAAGTCTTGCTGTTGGGCTGGAGTTGTGGCTCAGTAGTAGAGTGCTCGCCTAGCAAGTGCAAGGCCTTGAGTTGGATCCTCTGCACCACATAAGAATAAATAAATAAAAGAAAAGTATTGTGTCCAACTAAAAATAAAAAAGAAATAGTTAAAAAAAAAAAGGCTTGCTGTTGCTATTGGGAGGTGGTGGTGGAACTTTTAAGAGTAGGGCCTAGTAACAGATCTTTAGGTCATTAGGGGCACACCCTTGAAGTAAACAGTGGGACCCCATCCCTTCCTCTTGCTCTCTTTTGTTCTCTAGTCATGAGATAAGTGGTTCTGCTCTGCCACACCTGTCCATTTTGCATCTGGCACCCCACCAGAGGTCTAAAGCAATGGGTCCACTTGATCTTGGTCTAGAACCTCTAAAACCATGAGCCAAAATAACCTTTTCTATGTGGAGTATGATTTTTTTAAATTCACAAGTAGATGTGCCTGCAGTGAAGTTTTTCACTGTAGGCACATCTACCTGTGATATTTGGGCTCTGTTGTACCCCTTCTCTGAGAGGAGAACATTCACTTAATGCCCCTCTTTTGGTCCACTGAGGGAAAGCTGTCTAGCTGTGCAGTCTGAGTACAGAAACCTGGGGGCTAACTATTTCAAAGAGACTTGCAACCATCCCTCCTAATCTGAGCCTGTATCTGAACTAACTTTCAGGGGCAGCTGGTACCTCCCAAATGCTGAAGCTTTAATCTCCCAGGAGAACTGGCCTTCATCTTCAGATTTAGGTTTCAATCTCCTCTCCTCTGCTAAACTAATTATTATTCCTTCATTCGCTGTCGTCTTCCATATACTTCTTGTCCAAACACTTGTTGAAATCTCTACTCTCATACTCCCCACCCTTTGTTTTGTCATTTTAGGTCAATGGGTTATTGTTTGTTTTATTCCTTTACTGACACTTTAGTGAGTTTTGAAGGGAAAAAAATTATTGTGTACAAGGGAGATTCTTGTGAGCAAATCACAATTCATAAGTGGAATTCCGAAGTAATTTTTTTTTTTTTTTGGTACTGGGGATTGCACTCAGTGATGGTCTACCACTGTGTTACATCTAAGCCCATTTTAGTTTTTATTTTGAGACACAGTCTCACTAAGTTGCAGAGGTTGGCCTTGAACTTGCCATCCTCCCTAGTCATAAYAACTATAGGCATGTGGCACTATGCCTGGCTCCAAAGTAATTCTTATGCAACATATACTTGAGGGCTACCAGCTAATTAGAATACTGAATAACTAGTGACCATTTACACGAACTAGATAAATTTATGTGAAATGAATGATTTGCAAACCAACTATGATGTTTGGTGAACTACTGTCCTAGGGAAGAACAAATGAATAAKAAGAAGAAAGAAGGAAGGTCACAAATTAATTGTAGCTATTTTTATCTATCTACACTGTGGGATAGATACATTATTATATTCATCTTTGTACTTTTTCTTCATTTTCTAAGTTTTATGCACTGTCCATGATTATTGTTGAGAGTAYGGGAGAGAATTTCTGTACATCTCCCTAATACCTTACGTGTAGAGGTGACATACTGTCCACAGAAGCTAAAACACATACATTGACTGGATAGGCTCTTATTGAATGCTTAGACCAAAGTTAAACACTACAGAGGTATTATTAGGAAATAGGCAAATAGTTCCTGAATCATAAACAACTAATCCTGAAAAGAAACTATGAAATAAAAGTTGGAGTTGGGAGTTGGAAGTGTCTTCCTTCTTTTCTTTTTTTTTCAGTGCTGGGGATTAAACCCAGGACTTTGTACATGCTAGGCAAGCACTCTATCACTGAGCTACACCATAGCCCTAAATTCCAGTGTTTTAAGGGACTAGAAAACAGAATTAGAGGGGTAACTAAAAATGGAGATAAAGGGAGTTAGCCAGTTGATGTGTAATCAGTGACATTAAATTGAGCAGTGAAAAATAAACAGGAGTTAACCAGACATAGTTGTGGGAGGGGGGTGTGGGTAGAAGTAAAAGCACATCACTGTGACTGGAAGATAGCCAGTGTGTGGGGTGGAGGGTGATGTGAGATATATTTGGGAGGTAGACAGTGACCTAATCCTATAGGACTTTGCAGGCAACACTAAAAATTTTGGGTTTTACTAGGAGAATTACTAGGAGGTTTACTAGAAACCACTGAAATGTTTTAATCAAGGAAGTGACATGAAACAATTTACATTTCTGAAAGATCCCTATGGCAGTGGCAATGGGGCAAGGAAGTACCAATTAGGGCTCTTGCCAAAGTCCCGGACATAATGGTAGCTTGAACTAAGGCGGTGGCAATGTACACAGAAAGAAATATTTGAAATTTAGAAGAGAAGGGTTAAGAGAGCTTCCTGTGTTTCTGTTTTAAACAAATATATAGAGGCAGATGTCATAGGGAAGATGTCAAGAGAAGCAGAATTTGGAACAAGTAAAGATCAAGAGTTCAGTGTGGGATGTTTGTAAGATATCCAAGCAGATATACCAAGTAGGGAGGTGATTATAAATATTGGGAAGAGAGGTCAGATCCAGAGGTAAAAGATTAAGTGTCATCAACAAATAGATGACATTTAAAGTCACAGGATGGGTGAGTTTATTTAGGGAGAGGGAGAATATAGATGAGAAGAGTAGAAGAGAGAGAAGGAAAGCCTTTAAGAATTTCCTATTTTAAAGAATGGGAGAGAAGTACCTTCTGGAGGATGAGAGAGTAGTCTTTAAGTTTGGTTAAAATCAGAAGAAGTCTGCATGCAGTACCAAAGAATGCAGGTTTTATTTTATTTTTTTTTTTAAAGAGAGAGAGAGAGAGAGAGAGAGAGAGAGAGAATTGAGAGAGAGAGAATTTTAAATATTTATTTTCTAGTTCTCGGCGGACACAACATCTTTGTTGGTATGTGGTGCTGAGGATCGAACCCCAGCCGCACGCATGCCAGACGAGCGCGCTACCGCTTGAGCCACATCCCCAGCCCCAGAATGCAGGTTTTAAAAAGGAAGATATGATCAATTTGATTGCAAAGATGATAGGAAAATGTCCCTTGATTTCAGTACTGTGGGGGTCACTGATTACCACTGTAAATTATCAGGTGGATTAAGCTCTGTTGCAAATGTCAGAGAGACAAATTTACCACAGATTAACCCATCAGGGTTCATTCAGTTCAATTTTAGATTTTGAATTTTATTTTTTCTGAGATGTTCTGGTTATAAGGATAACTATTTCATAACTTCTATTCTTTTTTACACTCATTTTTCAAAAAAAAATAAATTTGTTTTTTTAAAAAAACTAAAACTCATTCTATCTTGCAATTGCCATAAAGGGTCCACTGGACMTTTTCTTATAGTCTCTTAGTGACTTTGATTTCCTCTAGTTTCATACAAGTAAAACATTTTGATATATCATTATTGTAAGAATTATTTCCACATTACTCAACAATACTTCTAACTATGCTAGAAAAGGCAAAAGGTATAGAATTTGTAATCACCTAGCAGGTAGATTCAATAGTGAAATAAATCATTCACTGTAAGATAATTTTCTTGGTTCACTACAATATCTAAAATATTGCATTCTCTCTTTTTTTGTGTGTGGGGGAGGGGGTACTAGGGATTGAACTCAGGGACACTTAACCATTGAGCCACATCCCCAACCCTATTTTGTATTTTATTTAGAGAGAGTCTCATTGAGTTGCTTAGCACCCAGCTTTTGCTGAAGCTGGCTTTGAACTTGTAATCCTCCTGCCTTGGTCTCCTGAGCCGCTGGGACTGCATCATCATTTAAGGGAGTATTAAAAAAAATCTGGAGATAGTATCTTTGCATTGTTTATTGTTGTTTTAATCTTTTATTAACCACTAATGAAATTCAGATTTTTTCATTTGTCTTCCCATATAGCAAAGAAAGGAAAATTGATAAAGAGAAACATTTCAAAATATTAGAAAAATTAGAAGATGAATGCAACAAAAAAAGAACTCTGGATTTTAAGGATGATGGTGAAATTTATCATACAACTGAATTCTTAGACTGTGAATTCACAAATGACATTCTGGATGATTTTCTCAAGCTAAGAAAGATGACTCAACAATATTTATTTAAGTATAAAAAAGAAAGTATGGAATTCTCATCCAGTTAGACATTTAATGGGAATGACTTCCTTATTCAATATTTTGCAACTAGAACCCAAGTCATTTTAAAAAGATGTGTGATGTACCTAAATCAATCGCTTTCATATACTCCAATAATTAATATGCTAAAAAAGAAATTGGGAAAAGTTCCCACTTGCAATAAACTCAAAATATTAATAAAATATTAATTTAATGAAGGATGTGAAGGATCCCTACAATGAAAACCACAGAACACTGAAGAAAGAAATTGAAGAAGACCTTAGAAGATGGAAAGACCACCCATGTTCTTGGAGAGGCAAAATTAGTATCAAAATGTCCATGTTGTCGGGTGTAGTGGCGCATGCCTGTAAGCCCAGTGGCTCATGAGGATGAGGCAAAAGAATCTCGAGTTCAAAGCCAGCCTCAGCAAAAGCAAGACTGCTAAGCAGCTCAGTGAGACCCTGTCTTTAAAGAAAATATAAAACAGGGCTGGGGATGTGGCTCAGTGGTTGAATGTCCCTGAGTTCAATCCCCAGTTTATCGCCCCCACCACAGAAATGGCCATACTACCAAAAGTGTTATACAGATTCAATACAATTCCCATCAAAATACTAATGACATTCTTCACAGAAGTAGACAGAGCAGTTCTAAAATTCATTTGGAAAGATTAGAGACCTAGAATAATTAAAGAGATCATGAGCAGAAAGTGTGATGCTAAAAGCAGAAGACCAGATCTGAAATTATATTACAGAGCTATATTAATAAAAACAGCATGGCACTGTCACTAAAACAGACATGAAAGACAAATGGAATAGAATAAAAGACACACACAAACTTATATAAATACAGTTATCTTATACTAGACAAAGAAACCAAAAACATGTTGGAGAAAAGATAGCCTCTTCAACTGGAAATCTACATGTAGAGGAATGAAACTTGACTCCTGTCTCTCACCTAGCACAAAAGTCTACTCAAAGTGGATCAAAGACCTAGGAATTAGACCTCAAACTCTGCAACTTCTAGAAGAAAATGTAGGCCCAATACTCTAACATGTTGGCATAGGAATCGACTTCCTTAAACAAGACTCCTAAAGCACAAGGAAAAAAAAAAAACAATAAATGGGATGGCATCAAATTTAAAAGCTTCTGCACAGCAAAGGAAACAAGAGTGTGAAGACAGAACCCACAGAACGGGAGAAGATCTTTGCCACCTGCTTTTCAAATAGGGCATTAATATCCAGAATATATATGAAGAACTCAAAAAATTTAATACCAAAATACCAAATAACCCAATCAATAATGGGCAAAAAAACTAAAAATTCATTTCTCAAAATAAATACAAATCATCAACAAGTACATGAAAAAATATTCAATATCTCTAGCAATTAGAAAAATGCAAATCAAAACTACACTGAGATTTCATCTTACTCCAGCCAGAATGGCAATTATCAAGAATACAAATAATACCAAGTGTTGGTGAGGATGTGGAGAAAAAGGTAAACTCATACACTGTTTGTGTGACTGCAAATTAGTGCAACCACTTTGAAAAGCAGTATGAGAGATTTCTCAAAAATTTAGGAAAGGTATCACCATATGATCTGGGAAAAGCGGGGGAGGGGACATTCCATCAAAAGAGAAGAAAAATCAGTAGAATAGATGAAGGGAACTGAGAGGTTGGGAGAAGGGATGGAATAAAGGAAGAAGAGTGGAATGAATCTTCCCTAACTTTCCTATGTACAAGTATGAATAGACCACAGTGAATCTCACCATCATGTATATCCACAAGATACTAACTTAAAAAAAAATCACAACTAAAAGTACATAATAGATCAGTAGAGCAGAGAGAAGGGAACAGGGGAGGGATAAGGCGAAGGTAAGAGGAAATACTGGGGACTGAATTAGAGCAAATTATATTCCATGCTTTTATAATGAATCCCAATGTTATATATAATTTAAAAGAACCAATAAAAAGGAAAAAAATGTGATATATTTTCTGCTATCTTTTATGATCTCATGTATCAACATACTTTATAAAGTTTTCAAGGCAACAAATAATAAAGGAATATGCACATACATAGGTGAATGGAAGGAAACGTCTGAGGTAGAGATGAAAAAAAATTCCATGAATTGCTAATTCTAATTTTTGTTTATAAACCTAAAAATGAAAATGTTTTGCAGTTAAGAAGCAAAGAATATGGCTATCTTGTCTTCAACAAAATGATGAATCATTGAAGTTTTCAAAAGCTTTGAGTTTTGTGTTTTTCAGGTACAGGAAGCAAGAGTAATCATGAACTAAAACTATCAGAAATGTATTTAAAATGAATATGATAATTATGTTCCTGGCTCATATATGTTAATGGATAAGTATTTCTATTCAAACTGAAACTACCATTTATGGTATCTATTTCTTCAAATGTAGGAAAATATGGGATAAAAAAACTGGGTTTGCTATGTTTAAATTAAAACTTATTAAATATTTTTCAGTATTCTTTTATTCTTGCTTCTGTAAATGATTTACAAAATAACTTAAAATAAGAAAAAATGGGGCTGGGTAATGTAGCTCAATGTTATGGCACTTGCTTATCATGTGCAAGGTTCTGGGTTCAATCCCCAGCACGGTCAAAAAAAAGAAAGAAAAATTGAACAGGATCATTGGTGATGAGGTTTTTCCTCTGGCATACTGACAGATAAATAGATATAGGTTTATTTAATATAATAAGCAACAGAGAAAAACAAAACCAATGAACCTCTCAAAGATTCCTTTTGGACTCAGATAATAAAAATTAACTCACCTAATTGGGAGTATCAGCTTAGGCTAGATGGATGGTGGATCAATAATGTCATCAAGGACCCAGCTTGATTATAATTCTCAGTTCTGCAATTTTCAGTTCTGGTTTCATCTATAGACTTGTATCAAGACAGTTGCAGCAATGAATTTAGACATACAATATCCAAAGGAAGAAAAAAATATCTCTTAAAATTAAGGAAACTTATTCTAGAGTAACTCCTCCTCCAGCTCCTTTTCCTCTTGCCTCCTTTGTCAGGAAGAAGGTGGTATAACACACCAGGGAGGCTATTGACAAAGTCCATGACAGTCTTTCTCTGGAAGTCAAACTGAAACAACTTACAGAACATACACTAACAACTGTCACCTGGACTCAGAATGAACCAGGATATATGTCAGCCTTTTTAAGTCCTTTATTTTCATATTAATGTTATTCTGTCATTTCCAAGTTTTCAGAATATTATTATATTCCCTGTTCCTCTTTGACAGTTGCATACAGAGTCATATGATCAGTGCTGGAGACCAGGACTGTGACCAGCTTCAGCGACAGGCAGTGACCAATGAATGACAGACAAAAGATTGGGTTTTTGAAGAGGCCTTGAATAGCCAAAAAGAAAATTGATGAGACTGGGAAAGATGTTTGGGGCTGTATCTCCCAGAACTTTGTTGGCTAGGATTTTTGTACCCTTAGAAAACTCAAAGCAGGTGGAATGACTAGAACTAGAATGAGGAAGAATGTGATGTTGAGAGGAAGCAAAGGAGAAAGAGGAGGGAACAGAACCATTTCGTATCCTTTTTTCTCCCTTAACTTGAAGTCTTGTCCTTAATGGATTGTTGCCTGGTCAAGACCATAACTAAGTTAATGGAGTAAACTATTTTGGATGATTTTTTTTTTTTTAACCCAGGTGTGCTTACCCACTGAGCCACATCCTCAGCCTGTTTTTTGTATTTTATTTAGAGACAGGGTGTTGCTGAGTTGCTTAGGTCTTCACTGAGTTGCTGAGGCTGGCTTTGAACTCTCAATTCTCCTTTCTTACCTGTCTCAGCCTCCAGAGCCACTGGGATTACAGGCCTGTRCTACTGCACCTGGCCCTCTTTTGGATGGTTGTATTGCATACTTGGACTGGGCTAGAATTGACAGTTCTTGACCATAGGAACAAGGAAGACCTGTCAAGTTCTTTATGTAATTACAAAAGCTTCTAGGCTCATAGGGAGTACTTAGGTTTTAGTTACGATAATAAAGGACATTTTCTGACCAAAGATGGGGTAAGAAAAGGAGATTTGTGGCCACCCCAGTGTGTTAAGTCACAGAGATGCAGCCAATACCTACCTTATAGGATTCTGATAAATAGTACACCTTTATGAGGTGAAGATCCTTAGTAAACAGAACAAAGTTAAAATCGGGGCTCTGCTTACATTTAGTAGTGCAAAAGGATGACTGCTCCCCACTATGAATACCTAATGCCACCACCTTAACAGTAAAAGATCTCAGAGAAAAAAACAATTTAAGTGTTAGTCTCTACCATCTTTCCCTTACCTTTGTGAAACTGCAGCATTTTATTATTCATAGCTATTCATTCATAGCTATTTTCCAACCAAGGCCAGAAACCTACACAATTAAAGAGGGGTGGGGAATGCAAATTAAAATTAAACTTAGATCCTGAACATTTTTTTTTTCCTTGCTGGGGATCTAACTCAGAGCCTTGAGAATGCCAGGTCAGTGCTCTACGGTTCAGTTATATTTTTTGATTACTTATATTTATGGAAATACATTTGCCTTTTTGAGCCTTCAAGAATCCTCAAAGGACTTGTTCAAAGGAATAAGTTGGAGAGCCCAGGAGGTAGGCTTGAGATTTTACTCACTTTTGCTCTATTATCCATCATCTGAAAAACTTTTTGAGTCCAAAGCTTATAAAACATAAAGAAGCTGCTTCAAATCTGGAAACGTCCTTCATCACAAAACATTAAATTCTCAGGGGAGCTGGGGTGGGACTGGACAGGAAAGTGAACTCAGATACAATTCAGTCTTTCCCCAACCCAGATACTATGTGCAGTTATTAATATTAATATTATTATATGCCTTTATTGTTAAATATAAATTAGGAAAGCAATTCCTCTATAAACTACCTTGGTTCTAAATCTATATAATAGAAAAATCTATTATATAGATTTAAAAAAAGGGCTTAACATTTCACATGCAACTTTTTATATAATCATGGTATGTGGTGACCCAAGATGCCAAGCATAACTAATGATATAAACTGCTTAAAATATATATATTTTCTTTTTGTTTATTGAGGATTGAATCCAGGATGGTTTACCACTGAGCCACATCCCCAGCCCTTTTTTCATTTTTATTTTGAGACAAGGTCTCGCTAAGCTGCTTAGAGCAAACTGCTTAAATTTTAACGGAAAAATCTATGGATGTGGAAGAAACCTGCCAATCAACACCTTGGGTGGCCTTGGAAACAGCAAACTCAAGCACGAAGCCCTCTCCCCAGCAGTCGTCTTCTGTAAAGGAGTCCTCGTACCTGCGCAGCGCGAGGACCCAAGTTCAGGGCTTTGTCTCGAAAGAACAAAGGTCGGCCAGCCGCCTTCTCACGGCGAGGCAAGACCCAAGGCTCCAAGGAGCCTCGTGCCCTCGTGGAGCCTCGCGCCCTGGTGGAACCGCGCCCCCGCCGTCACCGGCCCCAGCCCGGTCCCCTTTCCGCGCTGCCACGCCCCGCCCCACGCAAGGGGCCGCTGCTCGGGCCGCGCCTCCGTCTCCCGCCTCCGCCTCCCGCGGGGTTGCGTGCGCCCGGGGCGGGCGGCCGCCGGGCCAATGGCCGCCGCCGGGGCCGCCGCGCTCCTCCCGCGCCGCCGCGGGGCTGCGGACTCCTCCCGCAGGAGGTAACTGTCAGCGCGCGAGGCGGCGGGCCGGCCCAGTCATATGACCGGCCGCCGGCGTCCCCGGCGCGGAGCGCAGTTCCTTAGCCGCCGCAGCCCCGCCGCCGCCGCCGCTATGGCCCCGCCGCTGCGGCCGCCGCGCCTGGCTGCGCGCTGAGCCGCCGGCCCCGAGCGCGCGGCCGGAGCTGCAGCGGCGGCGGCAACATCATGGCCCCGACCCTACTCCAGAAGCTCTTCAACAAAAGGGGCAGCGGCGGCAGCACAGCGTCGGCGTCCGCCCCGGGCAGGGCTCCCAAGGAAGGACCCGCCTTTAGGTAAGGGGCGCTGAGGGCGAGTCCCGCGCGGTACCCGCATCGGCTTTACGCTGGTCAGAGGGGCGGGAACCGGGACGCGAGCTGCCCGGACGTCGCCGCCGTCGCCGGCTCCCGGCCCGGGGTTTGTCACCGTGCACGCGCCCGCGCGGAGTGCTGCCCGGGACCCTCTGACCTGAGGGTCTCTTCCTCCCTCCCTTCCTCCCTCCCTTCCTCCCTCCCTGTCCACCACTCAGGGTCCTTCCCGGTTAGGAAGAGTTACGCTGGTACTCGGGGTCCCGGGCGTGCACAAGGCTCTGCTCTGAGAGATTGGCTGTGGTTGAGGTGAACCCCTTCCGGGCACAGCCGCCTGGAGCCTCTGCGGGCCCTGCAAAGCTGTGAGCTGTCATTTTGAGGGCAGCACCAGCCTATTGTGTGCGTGACAGTATTTTGAAGTTGTGAAGGAGCAACAGCCACTAAAAAGGCATCTTTCTTCTTTCTTGCCATATATGACAAGCTCTCCAACGGATGAATGAAAGTATGTAATTTCCACATCATTTGGAACGTTGATGCCGCATGATGTGTGAAAAGGGGGAGTGAAATGCTTTTATGAAATGTATGAGATTTCAGTTTAACAAAGCTGATGCATATACTTAATAGAGTCAATATTCTGAATACATATCTTTGAATAATCATAGCTAGCATTTATTGAGCGTTTACTCTTTTAAATGATCTGTGTTGAGTTCTCTCCTTCTCTAAGGACGCCGTGAGAAGGATGCTATTTATTCCCATTTTACAGGCAAGAAACCTAAAGTCATAGAGAGCTTAAGCAGCTTTCTCAAGAACCACAGCAGTAAGTGGCAGAACCTGCGTTTTGATCTAAGCAGTTTAATCAGGAGTAAATTTCCCATACTATTCTGCTTTCAAGGGCTAAGTTATTTTTTAAAATGTCCCATATTGCCTTTCACAACCCTTATGTTGAGAARTTTATTTATTTATAAAAGATTTCAAGCAGTTTTTTTTTTTTAAGTGAGCATCCACTCCCAATTATGACACTCTGACAGGTGCTTTTGGCCAAAATGTCTTGCAAAATGTTTTGCAAAAGCAAGACTATTGTTTAATAGATCTAGACCCAGTACAATAAACCTTTTAAAAGTTTCAGGTGAAACTTTGAAATGAATTTTGGATTAAGTTTTATGCTTTGTGTAAAACTTTTCTTGAATTCCACTTAAAAACCCACAGTCCCTCACTGTAGTTATGTGAGAATTAAATAACTAGTATTTTTTGTGAGGGGTGTGTGTGTGTGGTGTTTGAAAGGTAAATTGTAAGAACTGCCCCTTTTGTTTTGTCTACCATAGTTAAAGTCTCATATTTCCTTTAGGCTAACTGAATCCTTATAATTTGAGCAGGGAATTTTCTGCCTTGTAGTACTCTGAGCACTAGTGATGCCATGTACCTTCTCAGAATGGTAGAATTACTTCAGAACCAGGGTGTGTAATTTCTTCCTCTCCTTCTCAGTAACCCAGACTGGATCAAGGGGACAAAGCCTGTAGGAAAAGGGGCATGTGTGTTACAGGTGTCTTGCTGAGGGCATTTAAAGGCATTGTAAATGCTGGTGGAGATAGTGGAGTTGTGTTGTCATTATTTTCTCTCTTGGCTGCTCAGTTGCCTACCACCACTTCCTCCATCTCTAAGTTTAATTGGGCATATTTTAAACAAAAACAATTGTGGTTATATTTAGGGCTTGCCATATTAGGGAAATTGATTCCCACTTTGTGGGAACATTTTCAGTACAGTGTTCTGACTTTTCATTGGTGTAAAATGAAGGACAAAAAAATTGTGCCACAGACTGCGTTTTTTTTTTTTTTTTTTTTTTTTTTTTTTCCCCTTGACCTCATTAGGATTTTCTGTAAGGTTTTGAGTAAGTGTTTTTGGAGAATTTGGGGATGGATCTCTGTTGAATACCTCACTTGATGAAGGCCCCCTTTTACTAGTATCCTTGATTAGGGATAATCAATGGAAAAGAAGGTGAAGTAGCAGATATCAGCAAAGATGCAGGAAGTTGGGGAGAGTCTACCAGTGCTCACCAGATTAATAAGATTAATAATGGACATCTGAACAAATCTTTCCTTCATCTGGCCTAAGTCTTTAAGATGTTGGGTTGCCCTCTGGGAAAAGCTTCCCAGAGAATTTCCCTCTCCTTACCTAAAAAATAATGATCCTGAGTTTACTTTTATATTGATTTTACTAAACAGGAGCTGGTGTGTGCTTTTCAGGGAAGTGGGTGCCTCATACAGGGAATTAATTGTCCTTGAGAGCGTACCTCATATTTGAATAGACAGAAGTTAAGGCACAACCTATAGATGAAAAGTTAAGCATTCCTAGTGTGAATTTGTATACTTTATACATTTAAACACAGGTGTAACATTTAGATCTAGAGAATGAAAGGTCCTCTTATAATTTTGTAGGACATTTTTATAGCATATTTTTTGGGAAATTCTAAACAAAAGTAAGATCTAACTTTTTATGTTTTTTATTTTTGTTGGAGAGTTGTGGAAGCCTTTTCTGTCTAATGTCTGTAATGGACTTTCACTCGTTATCTTAAACTTTCCCTCAGAATTGATTTGCCCTTGACGTTTGTTTACTTTGGTGTACTTCCTAGTTCCTTCTCTGGATTTCTTACTGTTCTCTCGTTCCTCCAGTTTTCACATACTATATTAGAGTGGAAATTTGTTGTCCAATAAGTAGCTTGTATCACATGTCATTTTCAGCTCTTCATGCTTCCTGGCATTTCACCTAGAAAGAGGATCAATAGAGTCACTGTTCCTTCTTGTTTATTTTGTTCAGGATGAGCCCTTTAGATAGCTTCCAGGAAACAGGTTGTTAGAAAAATTTTTTAAAAATCAAAGGAGATTGAATTTACCCATTTAAGAGAGGTAGATAGGAATATAATATGAATATGGTATTTTTGAAGTTTAAATTCTGTCTTTGAAATTTGAGGGAGTTTTTTCTGCTGCTATTCAGAACGCTTTTCACTTTTAATTAGTTGATATACAAGTTTGGACTTGAATAATGCTTTGTTTCATAATGATAAATTAGGACAAAAAATTGACTTGTATAGTGGCTCAAGTCAGAAATGGAAGTGGGCTCTTGATTACCTTGGATTTAAGACCAGGTTTACATGGGATTTTATAAAAGCTAAAATATGTCCAGTGACTTACACATCTGGTTCAAGTTTGAAGGATTAGCTTAAGGTGCATTGTTTAATTTTTTCGATGTCTCTGGTGAGTTAATGGACCAACTTCCACCTAAAATGTGCATGTAACAGGGAGGTGAAAAATATCTGGCTGTTAAATGTTTTATTGTGGACCAGTTAAATGAAGTGAGTAGGCATGAATATCTCCTGGGATGTGGGGAGTGAATAAAAGCATTGCAGCTGCTTGGTAGTTAGCGGTGTAAATTCCAGAGTAAACTCCACTCCTCTTTCCCTAGTTCTGAGGACCTCCAGTCAAATGGCCTAGTTATTGCTAATCCCCATTGTTCTGTTAGAACAATTTAAAGTAATGTGTTATAGGGTTGGTATAAATATAATCTGCTTATCATTGTTATCAAATAGCAGCTGATGTCCCTGTGTTATGCCTTGGTACTCCACCTGTACAAATCCAGGTAGGACACCCATGGTTGCACCTACTGGAATTTACAATCCATGGGACAATAGATGAATAAACAACAGAMAATACCTTGGAAACTATAACATGCATAAAAGTCAAACAATTGATAGAGAAAAATTTTTTACATTTGCCTGCTGCTCTTGTACTTGCATGGCTGAGGGCAGGACTATACTTTCTGCCCACTTCCAGGTCCCAAGATGCAAACATTTCTAATAAGATTTTTCTGAGGCAGGATGAAGAATATTCTGGAGAAAATCATGATTTTTTTCAGTACACTAAATTTTTTTAAAAAAATATTGTTTTAGTTGTTGATAGACCTTTATTTTATTTATTAATATGTGGTGTTCAGAATTGAACCCAGTGCCTCACACATGCTAGGCAAGTACGCTACTGCTGAGCCCCAGCCCCAGCCCTATGGTCAAATTTTTAATGCCCTTAAGATGTGTGGCACATGAAAAGTAGCTTTGATTTTTTTTTTTTTTTAAGTACTTTCTAAAACTCTTTCTGGAGAGGTCCTTGCCTGTGCTTTGGATCTCCTCGCACACTTTTTTACATTATATCTCCTTGTCCTGTATACCAGAATACACCATGGGGGCTTATACTAATGATTTCTAGCAGAGGTGCAGAAGGGAGTTGTAAGTTCTGTTAAAAGCCCGAGGCAAACAGATTAAGGAGTTCTACTTCATGCACCATGTTGATATGCGTTTCAACAAAACTACATTTCCCTGGTCCTCAAGTTCTGCCATTTGTAAAGTGATATCACCAGTCTTATGTAATACAATTGTGCTGAGGAGGTAGTTTAAACATCCTTCAAAAAGAATAAAATGTGGTACAAAATGATTTTAAGTATTACCAACTCTTTTTAGGTTATGGAGTTTTGTAATACTCCTGTTGAGGTTTTCCTAAAATTGAACCATTTTCAGAGGCTGTTTTCTTCCTGCAGATAGAGGACTGAGCTGAGGTACATGTTTTTGTTGGTTTGTTTAATGGTGATGTAATCAGTGAATGAAATAGACCCTTTAATGCTCAGAGGAGCATTAAAGACATGCTTCAGCCAGTAAATCAGACCTGGATAGAAGTGACTGGGCATTCAGAAATATTTTTAGGAATATGGTGTATTTACTTTTTTCAGGATTAGTTGCAAGTTTTTATTATCAAGACTATAGTCTTGTTTAACCAAAGGGGGCATTGGTTAAGCAAAATGATCATCACACAAAGGTGTTCTTACTAGAAGTGAAAGTAAGATGTAAATGTATATGATTAACATTTTAAAAAAGAAGTATGTTGGGCTGGGGTTGTGGCTTAGTGGTAGAGCACTTGCCTAGCACTTGTGAGACACTGGGTTTGATCCTC